CTATAACCCCCAAAGAACCAGATTCCGTAAACAACATAGAGGAAGGATGAAAGGAATATCCTATCGAGGTAATCATATTTGCTTTGGACGATATGCTCTTCAGGCACTTGAACCCGCGTGGATCACATCTAGACAAATAGAAGCGGGTCGGCGAGCAATGTCACGAAATGTCCGCCGGGGTGGACAAATATGGGTTCGCATATTTCCAGACAAACCGATTACAGTAAGACCTACCGAAACGCGTATGGGTTCGGGAAAAGGATCTCCCGAATATTGGGTAGCTGTCGTTAAACCTGGTAGAATACTTTATGAAATGGGCGGAGTCGCAGAAAATATAGCCAGAAAGGCTATTTCAATAGCAGCATCCAAAATGCCTATACGAACTCAATTCATTATTTCGGGATAAAAAAAAACCAAAGGAAAGAGGTCTTTGGGATGAAAAAAAATGTCAATTGTAGGTTTTTTTTTTTTTAACACAGAATATTTTTTTTTTACTTCAACCCTTGAATTGAAAAAAAAAAAAAAGAGATAAAAAAACGATATGATTCAACCTCAAACCCATTTAAATGTAGCCGATAACAGCGGAGCCCGCGAATTGATGTGTATTCGAATCATAGGAGCTAGTAATCGGAGATATGCTTATATTGGTGACATTGTTGTTGCTGTAATAAAGGAAGCTGTACCAAATACGCCTTTAGAAAGATCAGAAGTGATCAGAGCTGTAATTGTACGTACTTGTAAAGAACTCAAACGCAGCAACGGTATCATAATACACTATAATGATAATGCTGCGGTCATCATCGATCAAGAAGGAAATCCAAAAGGAACCCGAATTTTTGGCGCAATCGCCAGGGAATTGAGACAGTTAAATTTCACTAAAATTGTTTCATTAGCACCGGAGGTATTATAAGACGAGACTCTGGCATAGCTATATTATTTGTGAATAAAATAGATTCATTAATAAATTATATCTCGACACATATACCTTTTGTAGTAATTTTTATATTATTCTCTCTCTCTCGATATATATATATATTTCATAAAGATTTGATCACCTCAATAAAATAAATAAAAAAAGATATCAATATTTTAGAATAAACAATAGAAAAAGGAGCACGTTGATTATATTAAAAATCAGGGATAAGAATCATTTTCGTTTATCATGGGTAAGGACATCATCGCTGACATAATAACCTCTATACGAAATGCTGACATGAATAGAAAAGTAATGGTTCAAATACCATTTACTAACATTAACGAAAACATTGTTAAAATACTGTTACGAGAGGGTTTTATTCAAAATGTGAGAAAACATCGGGAAAACGACAAATATTTTTTAGTTTTAACTCTACGATATAGAAGAAATAGGAAAGGATCGTATAAACCTGTTTTAATTTTAAAACGGATCAGTACACCCGGTCTACGAATCTATTCTAATTATCAACGAATTCCTAGAATTTTAGGAGGAATGGGAATTGTAATTCTTTCTACTTCTAGAGGTATAATAACAGATCGAGAGGCTCGATTAGAAAGAATAGGCGGAGAAGTTTTATGTTATATATGGTAATTTTTCTGATATCCGAATTATATGAGATGATAAACTTCTATCCATTTTTGTCAAAAAAGAGAAAAAACATAGGTTTCAAATAGTACTCTTCATACAATAATGAATGCGTGACGGAAGTTTAACTGGAATAAGAATAAAAAATAAAATGGATTCATGAAGTTTTAATTATGGAATAACTTCCCAAGGGTATGTTCCTGATTCCCCTTTATATTATAGAATCATATTTTGTTAGATTCTAGTCTATGTTTCCGAAAGGATTCGACTCGACGTACTCATATTTTATATGTATATGATCCCGAAAGTAAAAATGGCAGTATAAATCATTTAATTAGACTTTTTTTTCAACTTAAATATTTTTTTGGGGGGTACGCTTAGAAGTTAAAAATTTAAAGAAACCTTATTTTCTTCCAATAAAGAGATTAGGAATTAATTTAAGGAATGACAAATATGAAAATAAGGGCCTCTGCTCGTAAAATTTGTGAAAAATGTAGATTGATCCGTAGGCGGGGTCGAATTATAGTAATTTGTTCCAATCCAAGACATAAACAAAGACAAGGATAATATTTCCACAAAGGAGGACTTTCCATTCTAAAGTAAAGGACTGAATGCACAAATAAAATAAATTTATATTAAATAATATAGATAATATATATAAGTTTTATAAATATTCTAACTATTAAAAAGAAATAAAAAAAAATAATTGATATTTCAAATTCTATTAATATAGAATTAATAAAAAGAGTACAATTAATATAGAAAAGTTAGAAAATAGTAACGAATCTTGTTTTGATATAAAATGGATATATCCATAGATCTTGGACTTCAATTGCTAAATAAAAAATTTAATAAAGTATGGCAAAACCTACACCCAAAATGGGTTCGCGTAAAAATGGACGTATTGGTTCGCGTAAGCATGCTCGTAAAATACCAAAG